TGAGATGCTCACAGAGCAGACAAAAGGGAAACCTGTTTCTAGATGCATAATACGAACAAATCAGAGTTTTGACACTTGCCTGGCTCACAGACGGGCAAAGGTGGATCCCACGTGTCATCAGTTTGGCACTGACTCAGACTGTGACCCTTCATGGTGTAGCCGGGATCACACTCAAAGGTAACACTGTCTTTATATGAATAGACACGTCTGTCACCAGATACTCTTCTTCCATTCTGGATCTGTGGGGCTGGGCATCTAACCTCTGAAAAAGAAACGCTTTAGCTGAAACAGGGCCAGAGAGGAAGGAAAAAATGTCTCCACCCTACGCAGCTCTCAAGCCTTGTTTAGCCTTTACCCTGTAACTTGTTCACTAGCCTATATTATTCTCACTTTGAAAATACAGTAAGCTATGTGTCTAGCTACACCAACAGCACCAGACCACTGTGATATCAGAAATAATTTAACCCTTGTTGTTGGAATGGGTCAGTGGAGTGAGGGGACTGCCCAGAGAGTGGATTCTTTGGTCCAACTGCTGCAGTTCTTCCAAACCACCCACACACCACAATCACCACACACAAAGTAGCCTCTCTCCACAGCACACACAACTCCCTCGCCACCCACAGACACAAATCGGAACAACCACCCACACTACACAACCAGCACACACAGTCAGCCCAGGCACACACAGCCCCTCACCATAGCACACATCCCTCAGTTCTTACCTGCACAAATTAACACAAATATCCCAGTGCCATACATAGTCACCCATATCATTGGATTAGGGTTTCTTAAAGCCATCTGCTTGGGGTGCAGAGCAGCTAGGAGAGCAGCCTGGGCATGCAATCTAGAAACTTACACCCACCACCTCCCTGACTAACGTTCCCCAGTGTCACCCTTTGCCACTAGGGTGAAAGACCTTTAACAGCATTCCTATACAGTGTGAGCCTCGCTTCTCTGCTAACTGACCTGCTCTACGGGTGCATCCAAAGGTACCAGTTTCCACCTCAAATCCTT